TTGCCACATTACACAAAGTCTGAGGCAGGAGCTGGTGCCAAGGAACGTCAATTTTTAATGAAACCATTCGAAAAACGTCTGAAACATTCTTTGTTTGCCTATAATTTCAAAAATCGTCTTCGTGCTCATTATTTCTTTTTTTTTTGGCAAAACTGAGTTTTTGCTTTGTTTTGAGAGAAAGTTCGGAAAATCAATTTGTTCCTTGTTTAAAAACATATCACCTCAAAAAATCCTGCGTACGCCACTGGGCGCAAACGGTATTTGAAGAAAATCTTGTGTGATAAAAAATAAAATTGAAGCTCTCAGATTTTTTTATAGCTATTGTTTAAAAAGTTTTGTTCGACTTGATAAAAAACGAACATTCATTACGCCAGTGTAAGGAGGCTAGGCCTTTTAGCAAAACTATATTTTTAGCAGATTGTACTTTTATCAGTTTATCAGTTTAACCAAAAAAACAGTTGACAAAAGAAAAAGCTAATTTCAAACATGACAATGGCTGAGCGTAGCTCGGCTGGGCTTATATTCTGCTTTGAATGTCAAAAAATGCTTGCCGCTTGACTATTTTGCTCTGCAGGGTAAATGAAAAAAAGTTTTGTTTTGACACCTCGAAAATCGGCAAATTATTTAATTATTATATTTAAGCATGTTATTTATAAAAATCACTTTAGTAGGTAGCGAGCCAAGAATTCCACGTCGGCACTAACCTACGGCATATTTTTTGATTAAGAGAACCTAACAACTTTTTAAAAAGCTGATGACACCAATATACTCTAAATTTGAGAGGGGAGTACAAAAATCACAATGTTTAGAAAAGAGTTCAAAAATTCAAGGAAACTTTTTTTTGGAAAAACGCCTTTCAAAAAAATTTTGTTCTTTCTTCTATTTTTTTTAATGTTGTAAATTTCAAAAAATAATTCGCTCAAACATAGCATCGCTGAAAACAAAACAAGCCAAGCGGAGCCCAAAACATTTTGCGGAACTCTATCATGAAAAAAGCACCTCTGGACTTTGTTGCTAATACCGCATTTCATTAGACAATATTTTTGCACAATTCACGGCGTATGTTATTCCTTTTGTGTCTGCGTTTACTTTCATTATTTTTAAGTTTTTAAAATCCTAAGTACTTTAACGTTTATTTCGTTATCTGTGTAAAAATGGAGTTTCATAGCTAATATTTTGACTTATGATGGATGACCCTTTTTTTGTAGAAAGGTAAAAACCGTAGAAAATTGTTTTCAAAGCGCTGGTTCGCCATTAACTTAGAAGGCGTCAGAGAGGTAATCTTAACGCCTAACAGTTCACATAAAAAGTTGCAGCAGCTTGCGCGATCTCTTTTTAATTGAACAAAATTAAAGTTTTTTAAAGGGCTTTTTGGAGACAACAGATTCTATAGTTAAACAAAACTGCTCGTACCCTGAATGTTCCGACTGCCTTTTAGGATTTATCGAGCAGTGATTACATAAATATCATTAATATTTTAAATGTAATAAAATAAATTGAAAATTTTTTTTTTCTAAAATTTGAAATTTTTTCTATGAAAATCATCCCTCCACACGCCATATAAAGTACAAGAGAAGAGATTTCGCTCCTATTAACTAATAAACTATGGCAATTAAGCTTCCTTCAGCCAATTTGGAACGATTTATAAGACGGATTAAATCTCCGCTTACGTGTTAATAGCGCGTTAATTAACCCAATTGGCCAAAATGCCAATCTTTAAACCCTCATAACCTTACAAAAAATAATCAAAGGTGAAATATCTTGTCAAATTTGAGCTCAGAACAACAATACCTTTTGAATGTTGTATAGAACTTCCGTCAAAAATGGCTAGTTAAAAAGTCAAAATTTGTCCGAAGAAAAAAAACCCACCCGAGCACAAATATTCCGTTACTTTCGTATCAAAGGTCGGAACAAAAAGGAAAGCTGTAAAACCAAATTTATAGAAAAAAGCTTAAGCTCAAAAATATTTTTTTGATTTTATTGTTGTCTAAAAAACCAGAGATAAATGACAAAACGTAGCGCCCCTCAAAAACAAAACAAGCAGGGTCAGGAACATTCTATCAAATTCATTAGAAAAGAATGGCTCAAGTGGGCACCGTCGCGGGTACCGCATTTTGTCATTTTGTTCTACTTTTTTTGTGAGTGGAAATTGCATTTCATCATTAGATTACGTAATTTGTGGGCAATTTGGTAACTTTTAGTGTCTGAATATAGTGTCTTCAAAAAAATTAACAAGATGTATTTTAAGTTTTTTTACAATTAATTTAATTGACTTTGTTTGGTTATTCATTTCGTTAATTGCGCAAAAAAATCTTTTTTTTTCAGAGCTGAGAAGAATTTTGATTAACTTACTCATCTGCTGATTTACTACACATCAGCAATCAAAGCAAACTAAAAGTCATCATACCATTATTTATATTAAAAGCAACTATCAGCAGTTAAGATAAAGACTGTCATCGGAATTTGCAATAAAAGTAATCACCATGGACTAAAATAAAAGTGACGATATCAGCATTAAGAAAAAAGTCAGCATCATTAAAAGTTCATACGGACAGAAACTTTCAAAAGATTTTTTATCCAAGAGATAAATTCAGCAAAATTTTATTGCCGTTTTTGTCGTTTTCTCCGAAACTACTAGAGACTCACACTTTATAAGTAAAGATATGACGGATGAATCTAATTGTAAGATTACAGCACGGTAAAAAAACTCAAAAATTGTTTTCAAGGCTCTTTTCGGCCTTTCAATTAAAAAATATCCGAGAGGTGTTCTAACGCCAAAACACTCCCGTTAATAGGAAAAAGTTCGCTCGGAAAGCTGAGGATCTAAGCTAGGCTCTCATATAGTTTTCTCATTACTTGTTAAAGAATACCAAAATTTACAGCTCCGCAACAAACTCCAAATATGGCTTTTTATTATGTAAAAAATGAATTTTCAGTCAGATTCCCGTCTAGAAAACTAATAGAAGCTCAGTTTTTGATTTTTGCTTTGATTTTGTTCTATTAATTCATACATTTTTATGGTGCAAATGTTTTTGCAAAATTTAACCGAAAGCCAAAATTTTTGATTTTTTAACCAATTAAACATTGCACCAAACTTATTTGTTCTTTTACCAACAAAACCGTAATAATCTTAAGCAAGCCTCTTATGTAGTCCAACAAACGTTAATGAAGGTATACTTTTATCAGCTTTGTATAAAAAAATTGATATTCAAAAATTATCAGTTTTCTAGATAAATTACCAATTTATTAATTAAGAACGTTTTAAAAATCTTATGCGCCCATTTTTGGAGAACACACCGATTTTAATTTTTAATTGATAACATGAGAGGCTTTCCGTTATGTAGTTTAGCTAATAATTGAAATAACAGGTTCGGTGTAAGCTTTGATTGACTAAAAAGACCAAAAATGATCGTTTTTTGGCTAAAATTTTGAGCCCGAATTTTGCAATTAATTAGCATCTCATATATTCTGTTGATTATAGTTGTTCATTTCTATATGCTGCTTGTTGACCATCTTTCAAAAACTCAGCTAACCCAGCTTTTTTGTAGTATAATTAATCTCATTGGAAAATCCAGTTGAATTTTTTTGAATCACAATCTGCAAAAAGATATAATTAAGACATACATTGATTAGAAAAAAATAAGGTTCCTCCCAATTGATGAGAAAAAATCTTTTTTTTTCATGCATTTTTTGGTATTTTACGGGTTGCATCAAAAATTTTGATTTAGCACAGCTAAAAAAATTTTTTTGGATACCACTAATTTTAGCGAAGTCGTTGTTCCGCACTTGCTTCTCCATCTAGACATAGTTTTTCATTGTTAAGCATTTTTTCAATTAATGTATTTTTGCTCACGCTCAAACTTAGCACTTTATGTGTTTAATAGCAACCAAGTGGACAGTCCACTAACAAACGCGGAATCCGCTGACAGTTTCGGAGTATTTAGAAAACTTGCTACTGTGCTGATTTATCTTACCCGGACAAAACAAACAAAAATTAACATTGAAAACGCACTTTTGTAATATTGGTTTGTTTTTCGATTAAAAAGGATGAAAAGAAAACCTGCATAAACTTTCAACAACTTTGATGGAGGAACTTTTTTTGGAAACTTCTGGCCTCAAGTTTTACCCGAAACTTATCTTTTTTGATTTCTTAGTCAATCAAACATTGCACCAAACTTGTTGGTTCATTTATTAACAAAATTATATAAATCTTAAGTTTTTATGAAGTCCATGAAAACTTAATAGAAGTCTATTTTTTTAAGTTTAGCATAAGCAATTTTTTTTTCATTTGATATCCAAAAAATGTCATTTTTACTACATAAAATACAATTTTTTTGGTTAATTAAAAAATCTTTTTTAAACCTTAGCTTATGCGCTCATTTTTGTAGAAAACACCCTTTTTAATTTTTGTTGGACTACATGAGAGGCGTTTCATTTTGTAGTTTGCTGAGTAATTGAGCGAATAAGTTTTGAAATAAATTGCTATTGACTTAAAAAACCCAAAAATGATCATTTCTATGGTAAAATTTTGAGCCCGAATATTGAAAAATAAACTGCACCATATGAATTCTGTTATACTTCATGCGTTTTTTCCACTTAAAGTCAACCCTGTTTGAGCAAAACACAATTTATTTTTAAGCTTTTTTCGCTTTGTCTGGATATTTTAAATTAGCACTGTATATTCGCTTGCTGTGGATTCCGCGACACAACAAAAGACCGAAAATTTTTTACATTACAAGCATCTGGTTGTGGATTACAAAATATTTTGGACTTGAATATTTAAAAGGTAAAAGGTTGTACGTGGTTTCCAGAGATACGCAGTTCAGCCTCGTAATGATAGTCTGTTAAAAAATTGTGTGCTAAAATTGCGGTCCAGTAAAAAGTCATCCCCTATAGGAACCGATAGGAACAACTGATTTTCATGCAAAAATTATGATCACTATTTTATACTTTGATGTTAAGAGGAAACTGGGAAAAAGCCCTGATATTGATATACTGACCGAGTGAGTTTCCGATCACTCCCAGGATGCAGATTGTTCCGAATATGAGCGGGATCAGAACGCCGCTCGCCTTCTCCACCCCCAGAGCGAACTCAGTGGGAACACAGGGGTCAATTGCAGCTGACATGTTTCCTATTTCAGTCACGTTCATCTTCCTTTCACTTTTGTTCCTTACATTCTTCTTTCATGAAAGTTCCTATTGCAGTTTTGTTTTCCAGCGTTTCGTTTTTCCGTTTTTAAAGCGACTTGAATTAACTTTTTTGCTGTGAATAACTTGTAAACCAATATCTAAATGAATTTTTTTTTCGAAAATCGTAAATAAATTTTGTAGGCAACACTTTTGGTAGTTTGCGATGAGCAGCTGGTTCAAATCTTTTCTTTATTTCAAACGCTTGTTCTGTTTTTGCTCATTGAATTTGAAAGAAAAACTCACTTATTTTGTAATTACGGACACAACGAATCCAAGCAAAAATGGGTGAAAATCGAATGGAAAATCATTGGTTTCGGATAATTGACTTTTGGCAACTGAACGCTTTTAAAATTTTAGTATTTGAGTATCATATATTTTTTTAAAAAATGATTCGTTTTGTAATTAACTGTCCCACTTTGTATAATTGATTAAAGACCAAAATATAGTAACAAAATACGATTGGATGATTGAAATGAATGATTGTCAAGAGAGTTTTTTTGGGGAAAATAAGAAATTGAATCGAATTAGGCTCAAATTGGAACGGAGGAAATTTATAGTAGCAACTGGGAATCTTCTTTTTGGATCACCCTTGAATTCGGGCAAAAAGCATTAAGCTCAAAAAAGATGAAAGCAAATTAATTAAAAGTTACAACCGCTGTTTTCCAAATCAAAATGATGAACATTAGCGAGGGCAAGAAAAACAAATTTCAGAAAACAGATTGTTTTTTTTTACCAGATAAATATTTTTTTGCCAAGATTCTTTTACCGTAGATTTGAGTAGATCGATAGGAGATAGACTTATTTTCTGCCATATTTTTACCGTATTTTTTTCAGCCAATCGCTTTTTGACTGCCTGAACGTAACTCAAAAGCCAATAAAAAATGCATTAAAATGAGCTCGGAATTCATTAAAAATGTCTCTCTTTTCTGTCAAACTGACACAATTTGATTCTTGTGGTCAAAATCCTTAATTTATTTGTGGAAAAAAAGTATTTCAATTTTGAAATGTTTTTTTTGTACGTTATAATTTTGAATTCGTTTCAGGAAAGTGTTTCTTTTTCAAGGGTAATGATTATGGAATGATTATAGACTAGGAAATGAAATGGGGTGTTTCTACATTTATTTAATGTAAAGCTAATTCACCAAAAATATCAAAGCTCAAATTCAGAAAGAAGGCTTGAAAATGTGCTCAAAATCTGCTTGCGGTACCGAAACTCCATTCTTCCCAGATCAAAGGATCAGAAATTTGATACAAATGAGGTTTTTCCTTTTTTAATGTTCATGATTATGATGTGCATAAGTAAAAAAAAGTACGCAACTATATCAAGGAAGTGTATTGTTTATTTTTTGTCGCTTTTTCTTTTTCATTATTAAAACAGACAATAATGTCCGACATGTAAGCTATATCTTAAATGAACCTCTCTAATAATCCATCCATCAAGTTAATCAGATTAGATTTCACGATGTTGTAGCCCAGCAAGTTTATCACATGGAAAAATAAAAAGTATTTTGAAATCAGGCGAACGGTCGAAAATCAACACTAAAGAAAAAGACATCAGCTGAATCTGACACGATTATGGTCTTCTTTTCCTAAGAATTTGACACCCTCATCACCCAAAGAATCCCCCTTTAATACTAATTTACGAAATCTATTTTAAGCCAGAAAAACAAAAAATTTTTTAGAAAGACTCACTGAAGAAATAATACTAATTTTCAGAGGGCAGGTTGCGCTGAATAACGCAATTTTCTAATCAAACGTCTCAAAAAGTTTAATTGGGCTCAACTGCAAAAGCGGCATTGTTGACCTGATTTTATTTTTGGGTTTTGTGAGCCTTAAGAAAATGTATGAAGTCGACCTCCGGCAAAAACTCTAGACTCATATTTTTTAATGTTTTTTTCTTCAAAATTTAAGAGCCGCTCATTGTGTCTCTTCGTTTGTTTTACAGCCAAACAAGAGTAGTTTTTTTGAATAGCTGTTTGAGTTCAACTAGAATATTAACAAGCTGAAACAAGATTTGATGTTTTGCAGCTCTGAAAGTTTTTTTTAACCTTGCATCCCACTATTGAACACTGATGTATTAAAAATTATCTTTTTATCAAAAGTGCATGCAAGTTTTTGTGCAAAAATCAATAGAATCTCAAAAAAAAATTCCGCGCGGTAATCTATATGAAAATATTTGGTTGGGCTGATTTAACAAAAATCTTTTCGGCCTTCCTTCTTTTTGAAGATCAATCAAAAATTTTCTGCAAATATTGAAAACTTCTAAGGAAATCTTAGCTGTAATACTCAATTGTAAAACAATTAAAAACTGAGCTACATATGGTTATAACGAAGTCAAATATAACTGCAAAATGAAATTGCACGGTAAAATTTTAAACAATCATTGAAATTGCGCGTAATTTCTTACCAAATAATCTTTAACTAATAATCACCAGAATAAAAATCAGAGTTTTGATTCAAACTACAAAACCATTGTAATAGATTTTCAGGCATTGAAAAAATATATTTCTAGTTGATCTGGTTTTTGGAAACTAAGATGCTACAGTTTTTCAGAAGAAAACCTTTGGGTTTCACTGATCCACAAAAACGCACAAATTAGTTTGCAGAAAAAATATTGCAACGAGAAAAACAATCGTCACATGCATTGAATTGCGTGATTTTTCTTCTGAAATAAAAGCAATTTTCTGTATCTTGATTGCTAATAAAGATACCTTCTTTATTAATTTCAAATTCAAATTCAAAGTTTGAAACAAAATCAACGCTTTTTGGGCTATTGATTTCTTTGGCTCAACAAGCTCTGCTTTTGAAAACCAATGGAACACTTTTACAGCTTTTCTGATATCTAATGAAAAATTACTTAACTATATCGAGGTATATTTTTTAAATTATTTTCAAGTATTTAGTTTATTTTTTGTCGTTTTTTTTTTCATTATTAAATTAGATAAAATTGCCCGACATCTGCAATAAATCTCTCTTATAATCCATCCATCATGTTATTCGGGATAGGTTTCTCGATGTTGTAGCACAGCAAGTATATCACATGGATTGAAATCAAGATTTTTAAATTAGGCGAACTGAAGAAAACGTAACTAAAAAAACATCAACTGAGTCTGACACAATTATGGTCTCTTTTTCTTAAGAATTTGACTCCCTTATTGCTCAATGAACCCCCCCCCTTTAATACTTATTTACGAATGCTTTTCTGAGCCATAAAAACTAATTCAAAACTTAGAGAGACTCCCTGAAGAAATAATACTATATTTCAGAAGGCGCTGAACAATGCAGTTTTAGTTTTCTAATCAAAGGTCTCAAAAAGTTTAATTGGGCTCATCTACAAAAGCGGCATTGTTGACCTGATTTTGTTTTTGGGTTTTGTGAGCCTTAAGAAAAAGTATGAAGTCGACCTCCGGCAAAAACTCTAGACTTAAATTTTTTAATGTTTTTTTTTCAAAGTTTAACCGCCGCTCATTGTGTCTCTTTGTTTGCTTTACAGATTTGATGTTTTTTTTTACCTTTCTGAAAATATTTCTAATTTTACATTCCACACTTGACTACTGATGCTATTAAAATCCATCTTTTTATCGAAATGCCTGCAATTTTTCGTGTGAAATTCAATAAAATCTCAAAAAAACATAAAATTCCGCGCGGTGATTTTAATGAAAATATTTCGTTGGCTGATTTAAAATGTCTTTTCGGCCTTCTTTTTGAAAATTAATCAAAAACTTTTTGCAAAATTGAAAAGTTCGAAAGATATTTTAGCTGTATCACTCAATTGTAAAACAATTCATAATTAGGCTAATTTTGGTTATAACGAAGTCAAATAAAACTATAAAATGAAATTGCACGGTAAAGTTTTTAACAATCAATGAAATGGCGCGTAATTTCTTAGCTATTAATTTCTAACTAATAATCACCAGATTAAAAATCAGAGTAATGATTCAAACTACAAAAAACATTGGTAAAAGATTTTCAGGCATTGAAAAAATATATTTCTAGTGGATTTGGTTTTTGGAATTTAAGACGCTACAGTTTTTTAGAAGAAAACCTTTTGGTTTCAACTATACCGCAATTATGCACAAATTAATCTGCAGAGAAAACATTACAACGGTAAAAACAATCATCACATGCATCGAATTGTATTTTATATGGAAATAAAAGCAGTTTTTTGTATCTTGATAGCAATTAAAAAATTTTTTTTTTAAAATTCAAATTCAAATTCGAAACTTTAAGCAAAAACAACGCTTTTTGGGCTATTGATTTCTTTGGCTCAACAAACTCTTCATTTGAAAATCAATGGATTCCACTTGAAGCTAGCTGATTTCTTCAGAACTCGAAAAAAATTAAAAACCAGCAATTAATTTGCCAATGTTTTGCAGTGCTCCATTGAAAAAAATTTAAGCAACCTTAAATAACGAAGATAAAACAATTTTTTCAATATTATATAAAAAATTTCAAAGGAAAGTTTAAAATTTTGTTTTTTTTTTGCCCATTTTACGATTTTATTCAAGCTTGGTTTGGATTTGCGAAAAACACACTATGGAAATAATGAGTTTCCCCTTTTTTTAACACGCTGATACAAATGACTGTACCGCAGAAATACTTTTCAACATCCTGTCTTCTCAAACCAGTTGCGATTATTTTCAGTTTTTTATTCAAAATTATCAGAAAAAATGACACTAAACTCCTGAACTTTTTTTAAAATAAAATTACTGCAAAGTAGAAGCTATTAAAAATTTGCATTTGCAAAGTGCCAGGCACATAGATTGGTTATCTATGAGTGCATTCTCAATAAAATAATGCCAGGAGAATTCGGATCGCCAAAATGAAAAATGCCACTAGAAATCGGATCAGAAAAAATCAGAACAGCAATTTTGGTAAAAAAAACTTGCTGTTCTGATGGAAAAATCTCAACAGTTACCAAAATCCGCACCGCTATTTCATTCAAATTGTTTGTTTGGGCTGATTTTAGGAATACTTTTGACCTTCATATGGGAGATTAATCAAAGATGTTCTGAAAAATTTGAAATTTTTAACGGACTCCCGGTTTTAAAACTCAATTGTAAAACAATTAAAAATTAGGCTGAAAATGATGATAGCGACGTCAAATGAAACTATAAAATGAAATAGCATAATAAAATTATAAACAGGCAAGTTTTTAACTGACTATCAGTTTTGAAGCAATTTAGAGCATACAGATAGAAATTTATCTCACCAATTTAAGCCCCAGTGAATTAAAAAAGAACTAGCAATCATCCGTTTTTGGTCTAAAAATATTGCTAAAATTTCTAAAAGTTTCAAAACAAGGAGAAAAATTTAGAAAATATCTAATATTGCTAGTTTAATTGAACTTTA